TTTTCAATGCAATTTATTTTCCTTGACCCCAGAATTAAAGCTGAGTCTACACTTCGACTGCATCTTGGGTAACCCATTGCGTAATTTACCAGATGTTAGACTTGACAGCTGTTTATTCTTCAGAATATCCTTTGCTTCTCATTGAAAATGTAAAAACAAAGGAGGAGAGAAAAGAACAGAAAAGAAGACGCAGTAACAGAACTCCCTCAGCTTTCCCATAATCTCTTTAGCGCCACAGTTTTGGAGGAAGTACTCAGATCCTGAAATACTGCATTAACAGGTTATATGAGTCATGTGGTTTAACTATGATAGACATTCAGACACCTAATATCACACAAACGCTATCAGCTCGCACCAATAATTTACTCAAACCTAGAATCTGTTAAAAAAAAAATACTAAAGCTGTGAACGAATATTTACAATTTCATTTGTAATAGAATAATAATAATAAAAAAATTCACATTCATACATTTGTGAGAGTTAATATTTAATGCAACAAAGTAGTCGTTGCAGTAGTCGTGTCCTGAGCGGCACATAATGTATAGCTCCTAATTGAGCACCAGCAGTACTGCTGTGAGGCATTGGTGCAGGTCTCTGTACCTCAGACATCACATACACTGCTGCTGGTGAAAGCAGAGAGATGAATGATTTATGACACTGTTAATGTTTGCACATCCATGAGTAATCGAGGGTCTGCTTGATTCCGAATGACTTAAATGTCTCATGAGTTTGTGTTCCCTCTGTTTTATTTTTTTGACACTGAAATAAATTTACAACTAAACATGTATCCTGTAGTTTTACTCTATAATAAAAACAAACACTGTGCTGTTTGCTGCTGTCCACAGATGCAAATGAATCCTTAGTTTCGGGCTAAACCTTAGGCAGAGACAGATAACCTGATTTTCAGTGTGAAGTCATTCGACACGGGTTCCTGTTTTCTTTTATATGTGCGAAATGTTCAATGGTAATACTAGGCTAATAACAAACATCCCAATCTGTGCTCCCACATGCACATAACATGCAGTAGAATCTGTTTAGTTTCTCATAAATGAAGCAAATGTTTTATCTGCTTAATTTGTCATGGAGTACTTTGGGAACAGACCTCACCTTGCTGTGGAAGTGCAACTATCCCATTACTTTTAAGCCTCTGAAAATTGGGGACCGTGTATAAAAATGGGCGTAATTCCTAACAGTCAATGCGATACTTTTACTAAAACCCTTGCTTCTTGATTGTTTCATTTAAAATCCACTGTGGTGGTATACAGAAGCAAAATGACAAGAACGAATAAGAGTGAATAAATTATGAACCTACTGAATTATGCAGTTATTCTAAACTGAAAAAAACTTTTTGAATTGGATTGAACAAAACTATCGTCATACATCAAGATGACACATAATTTATTTTATTTTACTTCATTAAATCATTGTAAAATGCAGTTTCACACAGAGTCAAACAGAGCATAAGCATTGTCTATATATAATAGCACATAACACATTTATAATTTAATCTATATTTAGGCACTAGAGGAGACTTTTGGAGCCTTATGCCACATTTAGAGACATCTACCTATCATTTGCAAGTTGTTTCTGTGGTAACAAAATGCAAATTAATTGACTAAACACAAACTGGGTCAGGCTTACATTTAAATGAAATGATACTAGAGTAATCAAAGTAGAGATTTTTCAACATTTGTTCGCCACGATACAACAAATACGACCAAATTATCAGATTTCCTCAGTGTAAGATGAGACTTTTAGAGCTCTTCATTAGAATTTAACCTGTAACGCTCGTGGACAGCTGGACTCGCAAACACACATCCTTCACGCCACAGTTTTCTGTTTATTATGCAACACTAATCTGATGCCTGTGCTCAATAGCAGCCTTTGTGTTTCAGAGCTGCTCCTGAGATAAGCAGGTCCATGGAAATCCGTGGACTGCAAACAGCGCAGCACCATCAACAAAATTAAGGAAGTAACTGGTAATGCTCACTATGGACAAAGGTAACATTTAAACTACCAGTACAGGATTGAAAGTGTGTTATGAAAATAATTACATATACAGGGGCATTAATGACCCTGGATAATTACATGTCTACCTCAGCCTTTCCTATTATAAAATCACTGTATCAGTATGTATGTATAATGTTGAAATAACATAGAAACCAAGTGTTAAATAATACTGAAATATTAGAACATTGTTTCACATGGAATCCTTGATTAAATAGTGACATTTCATCTGATAATGGTGCTTTGCATTTGAAGATATTTATGAGTTTTCCTCAGTTTTGCAAACAACACAGAACTTTTGCTCCATTTTTCATATACCATAAAAATGTAGGCACGAAGACTCAATGAATAGTTTTTGGCCTGAAACAAATATAGCACGCATTGCCCTCTAGTGGCCTGAGATCACGCTGGATTTAATGTCATTATAACTTGAGCACATTTATCTGCATGTATATCAGTGGTGACCAGGTATTTACTCTATTTTCTCCTGTTGTGATATATTGCACATTTTCTCTTCTTTACATCTCTAAGAAAACAGCAAAGAAGAAAAAGTCTCAGAAATACAACACACTGGTTTCAAGAGATTCTACTATTTTTGACACCTATTGTTGTATTTCATTCTTCAGCACTCACTGCAACACTGACAAGGGTTACGCAGCAGAAATAATGCTGCGCCATTTTTAGTCTTCTATGTAAATAAAGCTCAGTATACAAAGTGGTCGCAGCACACGGCACACATTTTCCTACGTGCTTGATGATAAATGGTAAAGAGTTCTGAATGCTGTAAGGCTCTACTTCATTGATGTCCTTTTCTGTACAATATGAGAGCTTGCTTCATCAGCCGTAAAGTATACATTTGACCATGAAACGATGCGGCGAAAGCGAAACAAGCCTGCAGGGCGCTCTGGTGCCAATCCCAGCAGTAATGTGTCGGTCGCGACCGAAACGGATCTTTGAAGTGAACGACGCGATCCGGTTCCTTGTTGGGAGTCTCTCTCTCTCTTTTTATTTCTCTCTCTCTCTCTCTCTCTCTCTCACCTTTTTCCGGTTCACTCTGCGCATGAGCCTGTGCCTACACTGAGCAGAGGGGGGAGGGGCGAAAGTTACACTTGCAGTAGCACAGGAACAGAGCTGGAGGTTAAGAGCGAGAAAGAGACAACATCGTCACATTAGAAATGTATAGTAATCCTCCACAACTATTTTCATTTGCGGATGATAAAGGATTCAGAAAGTTCATTCATGCAGTGAATCCTATGTATGCAATTCCAAGCAGGAAAACACTCTCCCAAAAAATCATCCCAGGCCTATATGACAGAGAATGTGCATCTTCTTTTTTTTTCCTTTTCTTTTTTTTGCATATTTTAATTTATATTTTATTGTGTTGTGGTTTGCAGTGTTTTGTGATGTTTCACTTTAAATTTGTTTAAAAGGAAAATGCTGAAAATTTAAATAGTTAAGAGTTGAAATGTAAATAGTTGGGTTTTGAGCTTTTTTTGAGCTTTTGTTACTTAGTGGCTACGCAAGCCAGGAAGTACCAATGACCGGATTTGGTGTGTTATAGTAACAGGTAAATGAAGATTTTTTTAAAAAATTATTTGTAAATATCTATATCTATCTATCAATCTATATATATATATATATACAGATATATATATACAGATATATAGATAAGAGTGTTCGTGTATAAATATATAAACACATAAACACATATAAATACACAAACAATACAAATATGCTTTCTTTCAATTGTGTAATTTAAGTGATCAAGGTAGCTCTGTTTTGGATGTTTAGTTAACGCTAGCAATGTGTTTTGGAGTTTGTATGTGCTTTGTCTCTAGGGACCCCCTTGAATGTATATATAAACATATATAAATAAAACCACGTTTTTTTACATTAGTAATTCCTTTTGAGCATAATTTTATATTGTTGTTAATATTATAAATTAATTAAACCAACAACACTACCTGAAGATCCGGTTGGGAGTCGAAAGAGTCGGTTCTTTTTCGTGAGTCGAGCTAAAAGAGCCGGTTCTCCACAAAGAGCCCGAATTCCCATAGCAGTTTCGATAGGATGGCAGGAAGTCGTGCCGTTTATGGGAAAGTGACAGGCTTTCTTTTGCGCCTGCTCATTAACCCCTCGCTCCCTCCCCCCACTGGCCAGACCTGAACTAGAAAACGAAAGTAGGTGAAGCGAGAACAGACTGCGGGATTTTCTATTACCTGTGTCAAACCGGAGGTAAGCACACCTTTTTTCTTTACTCTCTTAACTAGCTATACACGGATTAAACTCTTTAGCTATTAAATTATTTTTGCAGTTTGTTTCCACAGATTTAGACTTAAAAAAATAAAAATAAAAAATAAATATATTTAGTATTACTAACACGACCGATAAACTAGCAGTTTTGTACCAACAAGGTAATTCCCAAAGAGCTATTAGCTGAAAACAGGGTATATTTTATCATGGTTTGCAGCATGACCTTAAAATATTTAGCAATCTGGACAAATGGAAGTTTTCCCAGACCATGAAAACGATCAACATAAACAGTATTTCAAAGTCAAGGACCGAAGAGATGAGAGAAAATGCTGCCAGATTACAAACAACAGATTGTTCTGTGTTTTTCTACTCTAATCTATCTATATAAAATGTTATCTCTAATATAGTTTTATGATGATCCTGATGAAAGCCACAGTGAATTGGTTTGTGAATAAACTTGTTCTATATAAAGTGCTATAAGTGTGCTGTAGGGGTTAAAGTAGGTGTGAATGTACAGGATTTTATTTATCGAGACACTTTCTCACAAATTACTATAGTTATTATTAAAATCCAGAGATAGGAGGTAATGAAATACAAATACTTCATTTCTTTATTTGAGTATTTATTACTTTTTACTTTTAGTGCCTAGATTTAACATGAACATCTGTGCTCCTGTTCTCCTCTTTCTGTTGTATTCTTTCTCACAGTTGGGTAGATAATGAAATAAAATGTCACACATGATGGACAAGTCCACTGAGAACCCCGGCAAGAAGAACGGCATGTTTGCGAAGCTTAGAAGGAGCTTGCGGCTTCAAACACGGAAGAATCCTCATTCACCTGGTGGCGAGGAAGCCAATGTCCTACGTGAATTACCTGCAACCGCAAAGAACTCAGACTCTGTGGCTTCACCACAACCTCCGTCACCCGGTGAGTACCTTTGGTCTTCATCAAATCTTCTGTCAAATATAAGCACTGATGGCAAGCTAGATGGTCTTTCTTTTGTTTAGTCTAGAGGACTGAGCGTCCATGTTTCATCTGACCAACCAACAGTTTTACATTGTGCCTCAGTTTATTTTAAATGACGATCATGTTCACATTTGGCTTCTACTTTGTGCCACAGAGCTTTAACTTGCATTTCAGGACATCACGGTGAACTGTGTTCACAAACAGTGATTTCAGGAAGTGTTCCTGATGTCGTACAGTGTGCCTGTGACAGAATCACACCTGTTTATAATGCAGTGCTCCTCAATGGCTCGATAATCACAGGGATCTATTAGTTTTGGCCTGGTGCCTCACGGCAAAAGATTTTTCCAGATTCTTTAAAGCATTTGATGATGTAGTGTAGATGATGAGATATTCAAAGTCTTTACAACTTCACATTGAGGAACATTGTAGTGAAATTGTTCCATGTTTTTGCAGATTGGTGCACCCGTGTCTCCCTAAGATGCTCTTTATACCTGTATACATCTATATTGTCAGTACAAACACTGGTAGTAAGAAAAAAAATGCACACTAGACTTGTGACACACTAGACCTACAAAGTTTCAGGCACACATAAAATCCTAACAATATCCTCAGCAGTGGTAAAAAAACATCAAACAAAGCACAAAAAGACTTATAAAACTTGTCAGAATATGTCTGTTATGTTTGTTTGCTAAATGAAGGAAAGCAGAGAAGCTGTCCTCTGGGTTTCCCCTGATTTTTGTGTAGCCTGTAGAATAAAAACACAGCATAAACCATAAACTGTGTTACAGCAAGACTTTTCAGCCTGTGCAAGAGGGTGGAAGGAGCCACTTTAATGGTCTGTCCTCTGCTGTCCTTTGAGGTGAGGGCTTGGGCTTGTTTGCCAGCCACAGGACACATGAACCCCTCTGTATGTGAGACGATCTCTCTGCCAAAAGTACGCTATGCAACAGGACAATGATCTCATGCACTGCAGCAAATCTACAACAGAATAGTGAAAGAAAGCAAAAATCAATGACTTGAATCATCCCAGAAAAAGTCAACCTGAATTGAATCCTGTGGCAGGACCTGTAGAGAGCATCATTGTAAAGAAGACTGGGGCAAAATTCCTCCACAGTGATGGGGGACTGATAATGTCATACAGGAAAAGCACCAAATCAAAACAACTCCATTTAAGACACATCATACTGGAACATAAAGACACTACAGCAACATTTTACCCAGTGTTTAATTTCCGATGCTAAGCTTCTCAGCCTCTATCAAAGATACAGCTATACATTTCAGCTGTATACATTAGGTAATTTACCACAAGTCATGTGATTAACTCTAAAGCATCATCTGATTAGAAATGAGGTCAGACTGTTTTTCAAGATTCTGCCGATCAGTTTCACTTTTAGGTGCTGGCACCGTGCTGCACCAGCCTGTTCTGTTTCCAACATGACTTAAACTTTGCATTCTTCAGTTTGCATAATACAAAGCAATGTCAAAGCCATGGACACACAAACACCCACGTAAAGGAAAATAAACTTTAGACAAATGTGTTATTGAAACTAAAGAGTCAGTTTAGCTGTTTTACTAATGTGCTCTTCTTCCCTCTCTGTCAGGTCTGAATTCTGGCTCTGCATCCACCTCTCCGAACAACAACCAGAAAAACGAGGATGATGAGTTAGATGTTTCTCCTCACAAATCCAGACCACTAACACGATCAAACACAGGTGAAACTTCTAAACTTTAATACTAGATCATTTCTCGTGCCAAATGAAACCATTGGCACTAATTTGCTGCTGGAAAAGCCTCCACCTTATGTTGTAGGGTTTCCATCAGAGTGTTGCATCTGGCTCCAAACTGTATTTGTTGCATTTGAACAAGTGCATTACTGAGGCCCAGATCTGATGTTGAGTGACAAGGCCTGATTCCTTATATTTATTCCAGAGATGGTGAGGTTAGGACTGTATGCATGCTAGCCAGGTCGTTTTGTCATTGTGTGCTGCACTATTAATAATAAATAAATACATTTTTATTTATATAGCACCTTTCTAGACAAAAAGATCACAAAGTGCTTCACAAAGAGATGACAAAGTATAAAACAGAAACAGACAAAAGTTAACAAAATGCAATTCTAAAAAGATGTGTTTTTAGTTGTTTTTTAAAAGAGACCACTGAGTCCACAGATCTTAAACTCCGAGGAAGAGAGTTCCACAGTCTGGGGGCCACAGTCTCCCTTGGTTTTCAGCCTTGTATGCTGTATAACAAGTAGGCCCTGATCATATGATCTCAGGGACCTCCTAAGGACATAGGGCTGTAAAAGTTCAGTGATGGCTGGTGCTTGTCGATGAAGAACTTTAAAGGGCAGAACCAGAATTTTAAAATGGACTCTGAATTCAACTCTGAATTGAGCTGCATTAGCAACGGTGTCACATGAGAGTACTTAGATGTTTTGGTCAGAAGCCTTGCTGCAGCATTTTGGACAATCTGCAGATGCTCCAGGGAGCCCTTGCTTAGACAAGTGGACAGTGAAGATGTAGTGCAATCTCTACATTGCCAGTTTGTAGGATCATTGATTATGTTTGGCCATATGCTATGGCCGGATTCAAAAGGAAAAAGATTAAGGTAACCCTAATCTATAAAATTGAGTTTTCAGGAGTCATTAAAAAAACAAACAGAGTCAGCAGACCTGATTGAGTGAGGAAGATTATTCTACAGTTTGGGCGCAACAACCTCAAAAGCACAATTATCTTTGGTTTTAAAGTCAGACAGTTACAAGATCCTCTTAAACGGGGCAGAAAGGTCGGCTGCAGTGATCAGGTTTCTGAAGCTTTGCTGTATAAGCAGCGCCCTGTCGTTGTGTTAGTAACAGAATTTTGCAATATATTGAGGTGAAGGAACCAAGTTTGGGTGAGCTTTGAGATGTGAGTTTCAAAATTCAGGTGTTGGTCAAAAATTATAGCAAGGGTTTTAGTTTTAGAAGTCATTAGTGAAGGGGCCGAGGTACTGACTCATCTCCTTAGAGAAACTGCCTGGGCCAAGTACTAGAACCTCAGGTTTACTGCAATTGAGATGAAGTAAATTTGACTACATCCAATTAGTAATGGCAGAGAAGCAGTCACTGCAGCAGGAAAGGCTGTTAATGTTGTTGGGCTTGACATAAAAGTAAAACTGTGTAATCTACATAGCAGTGGTAAGAAAGTCCATTAAAACAATTAGTTAGATGGCCTAAAGAAAACTGGTCCAAGGACTGAAGCTTGGGTGCTTGAGGCTTCTGATATGAGAGGTGCAGATGAGGACATACGCTGATTCATATGAATTCTGAAGTATCTGCTCGTGTCTGTTTCCTGAATCCTGATCTGATGCCTTCAAATAACATTTTTTAACCTGGGCAATAATCCAGGCGTTAAGAGCATATTTAAAGTATGCAAAATGGCAAATTTTTGCAGTTATAGAATATTTCCAGGATGTAATTGATATCTTAACCATGTCCTCTATAGAGTAAATAAATATAAATATTCAGTCACAGTAGCAATTCAGTTGTCATGATGTGCTGTGTGGCAGGCACTGACTTAAACTAGAAGCCAGAATAACAAATAACATTAAGAGAACAAAACCATGAATAACCAATAATCAAGAAATAGAAATTAGACACAAAACACAGGGTAACACCCGGGACTGTAACAGCACTGACACAAGAAAAATGGTTTCTTTACAATAAAAGAACATGTGAAATTGGCCATATTATTAAATGCTTGTATTCAATTATGTGTGACACTTTGGACACCATCAAAAACAGAAATGATGCCTGCAGTCTGTTATTGAAACGACATTAAACTGTGTGCTCTTCTCTTTCAGATCCCACTACGTCCACTTTTGATAATACTGTTAAGAGAGTGAGAGAATCTTTTTACTTTAGACGGAAAAAGGACGAGGATAAACCCCCCTCGATCGAGGAAAAAGGTGAAAATATTTTTTAGTATTCAGGAACATTGGACGTGTATTCAAATATTATAAAAGGTCAGAGGTCCAAAGTTGCAGTAGGAAACATAAAGAAAAGTGTTTTCCACAGTAAAGTTGTGGAACAAGAAAATATTAATGGCTATAAACTCTTCTTCCAACCCATCTTAGAAAAAAATATTTCCCTGTTTCATCTTTAGGACTTGAAAACTTGAGAAAGTATCAAAGCAGTTTCACAGAGCCTGGATCTATAAAATAGTGCTGATAATTTAAAAAGATTCATCTTTGTTTTTGTCCACCAGTGACTCCTACTTTTGAGGAATGCCTTGAAGGACAATACCTGTTTGAAGCCACTCAACAACTGATCGAGAGGGAGAAACATCTGTTTGGAGAGATAACAGAGGCTGATGCACTTAAAGATCATGAGGAAGCAGTAGAAAAGCTTTCTGCAGACCATGAAGCACTTGAAGAGCGTATAGAGCAGACTGTGCAGCAGAGTCTTTCTCTCAGCAGTGAGAAAGAGGTGTCTGCTTTGACATCTGCAGTGAAAGCAATCAACCTTGAGGAAGAGCAGGACCAGCTGTGGGGACAAAATTCTCAAACTCCACCAGCCTGGAGGCCCAGCGAGTGGAAGAAGCACCATGACGAAGTCCTTCAAAAATTAGTAAGTGGGCGTATGGATAATCCATCAAGCCCCATTGGTGATCAGGTGAACCAGTCATCTATAGAGGCAGACATCCAGTCCATGGGCAAACAGCTGAAGAAGGACATGGAGTGGGTGGTGGAGGTTGTGAAGAACTGCTACCCACCAGAGATGGACATCTGTAACTTTTATGCAAGACTGTACCATCAAACTTTCAGCGCAAGACTCAAAAAGATTGCAGACTTTG